TCATGGAGCAGTGGGATGTCCCAAGGCCAGGGGTTGGGGTGAAGGCTGCGTGCAGGCAAACCAGCACACTCACCTGGCCTCATCCTGTGACTCTGCAGCCCACTCTGCCCCATCTTCCCATTAAACTGCATTTCCAGCCACTGCTCTGCACGGGGGGCTTGGTCCTGGGTCCACATATGGGGGACGGCTGGGTGCCAGCCCCACAGAGGGGACGATAGTCACAAGCTACTAGCTCGGGGTGGTCCAAAGTCCAGGCTGATACTGGAGGGACCAGAGGAGGGACCTGGGGCTCCAGGGGTAGCTGCTGGGCAGACTGGGTGGCTAAGGCCAGACACTGGAGGGGGCCCTGCTGTATATATGTACATTTGCATGTATTTCCCACTAACTGGCTGTCATCCCATCAGCTGGAGGGTGGAACAGGATAAGGCTGCTTTCGCGTGCTCAAATGGACAAGACAACGTCGCCTGTACATTAAACTTCATTTTACCAATTCATTGGGAAAGAAAACAAACACACGCACGAAGCAAGGGCCCAATGCCCTTTGCACAGACCCGTCTAACATGTGAACTCACTAATCCATCACTTCAGCAAATCATGAAATTTCTAACTCACAGGTTCCCTAATCCATAATTCACAGCTCCTAACTTGGGTGCCCCTGAGCACCACGGGGAGAAGATGTGTGGACAGGGAGAAGCGCAAAGGGCTGGAAAGAGGGTGCTACCTGTCAGGGAGAGGCACAAAGGGCTCAAGGGAGGGTGCTGCCTGGGGGCTGCAGGGCTGCTGGGGGAAGAGGCTACCGGACGGGGCAGAGACTTTGGGGCAGCGAGCACACAGCGCCCCAGGAAAGTGTCAGGACCTCTCCACCGTCCTCTTTCTCTTAGGGTTTACCCACCTTTCCCCAGCCTTCCCCAGCCTCTGCTCCACTCCTTCTTTTCCTGCTGGGCTCTGGGGCTGCTCTCAGCCCCCACGGCTCCTGGAGAGTGCATGGACCAGAGCCGATCAAGGGTATGCCTGCACCAGCTAAGCCCAACTGGCTGACATGCCTGATGGTTCAGATTTTGATTAAAAGCCACTCCTGCATCCTCATCCTCACCCCTGCAATCTCATCCTCACTCCCACATCCTCATCCTCACCCCTGTGCCCTCATCCTCACTCCTGTCTTCTACACGGAGACCCCCAGTTCAGTCCTGTTGCGCACTGGCATCCTTGGCACTGTCATGGCTACCCGGGCTCATTCTCATGCTCACCCTCCCCAAACGCCTGCTGTGGCTGTCACCAGCAGCATTGAGTGGGTTCCCAACGCTTCTCCAAACTGTCTGTGAGGTAAAGCCTCAGGACCCCTGTGGGAGGGGGAGAATGAGGCTGGGAGCCCTGGTGGGGAGAGTCCATCAAGGAATGCAGGGTGAGAGAGAACCATGTGGGATCCCCAGGGATGTAAGTGTTCATTTCTGTCCTTTCACCGTGCCCACAGCCGCAAATTCCCTGCCTCTTGCGCTGTCCTAAAAAAGCACTCAATAGGGATGGGAGATGATGTAAGCAGCCTGCTTGCTACACAGGGGAACAGAAACAGAAAGCAAAACCGCAGGGTTTACAGGAGGCCAGCACTGACAGCGTCACTGCCACCGCCCCCTGTTGCTGTTGGGGCTGCTTCGCTTCCTCCGTCTCCCAAATCCCTGTAGCCGCGCAGACCACCAGCCATCCCTGGAC